TCTATGGTGCGTTGCGGTGCAATATACACGGATGCAAAGAACGTGAAGTACACCCTTAGCTTGCAATCCTTCTGTCTCCCCTGAATTATACCTGTATTTAACCTATTATGCTACCGGTATTAAGAGAATAACAGTCTATCGTTGTTTTTCAGAAGAAAATTCATGCAGGACGGGATGCGCGACGGGATTTTGAGCACAAAGCTGGAACGAGGCGCGTTTAATTAGTGTAAAGTGCGTTGCGTTGTTTAAAAATGGATATAACGAAGGATTATAAGGATATAGGAGTATACGAGAGCGCATACGCTATTAACATGTATTACTCGTAAATACCAGTAACGCGTAAGAAACTATAAATGAAATATCTATGCAGCTCACTCGCCAACTTAAATTTAATCAGATTATTTACGGACTTTATTCGCATCATAAGTACCATTTTGAAAACTCTTTTGAATTAATACAATTGCATAAAAACCACATGGATGATGATATCGAAGGTATCTCTCTCGATTTGTGTGACGATTCTTTTTGAACTAACCTATAAAAGGGTCATTAACGTTTCCCTTTGCATGTGTAATTTTCTTAAGATCGCGAACAAACCGGTTGCAAATTGCTGTATCATTTCACTGGCTTTCACAGATTCCTGTTTCGTTTCCGTCAACATAACAGTCGGTAATTTTTCTAATAGAGTGCAATTTTTTATCTCTCTTTAATGTTCGGTTAAAATGTAAAATAGATTGTTGCAATTAATTTTTCTATAAATATTCAACCTCATTAGAACCACGCTGAAGTTTACGGAAAATTTATCTTTTATACATTATCGCATAATCGGCGGAATTTCAATTTCGCAAACACCCCTAATAATACATTCGCGCACGAGCGCCGAATGAGACAAAATTCCTCTAGAAATTCCTCAAGAAATTAACCGCGCGAAGCTTTGCTTCATTCTCTAAGCTTCTCATAGATGCGTTCTTCCGCAGCGGCAACATTAATAACAGCAGTGGCAGGCAGCAACCGCAGCAACAGCGGGAGATCGCTTTTGCTTTTAATTTCGTGTCGGAATCACGCCGAAGAAGACCGCCGCGTATCTTTAGTAACCAGTGCATATTTCATAGACGTGCCGTGTGTGCGCATAATTTTCAAGCCACCGCTCTCACACCCGCCTGCAGGCGCGTTCTCCCACCCTCGGCGCACCTCCGAACCCGACTGTCCGCTTCGCTGACGGACGTTCTCTCTGCTCGAAGTGGGAGCCGCTTGCCGCTCGCGCGCGCTCCGTGCGAAGGGTTGAGAGAGAGTTGATTAATCTCTACAATATTTAAGAAGCACCGGGGTCGAGAGCAAAAAGCCTTCCGCCCGAGCTTTATGGGGATAGCTTTCTCCGCTGTATAAAATCCCTCTGGCTAATCCGCTGTTTGCATCGATGTACCCCTTGTGTTTCTCTGCGGTATCCCCGCCTTCTCATTCGATTCCTAGCGATGTGTCGCTCGCGTGACCATGAAATACGTCGCTTTAATAGATTTCTAAACGCGCGGTTAGTATGTGAAAATTTAATTTGTAATATTGCGATGTTATTGTTTTTGAAACGTGAAAAAATGAAAAAATGAATAGCAAAAATAAAAAAATTATGACGCGTTTCAAATCGCTGTAATCACCGATAGCCGCAGTGAACTTTCCGGGATTAAGCTTCCGATACGGAGAATGTATATATACGTTATTCGAAAAACGCTCGCTGCAGCTGCAGAACATATATAATCATCATCCTAACATCCGTAGATTTGGTGCGCTAGCCGGTAACTGTTTCGCGCTTTTATGCTCCGGTGTATCGAAAAGATTAAACAAAAGGAGGTGGTTTTACGTGGAAAAATATATGAGCGCAGAATTATAGTATGAGCGTGGTCGTTCGTAATATCCGTATTTGTAATTTTA